CTCGAAGTCTGCACCAAGCCAAGTTGGCATGTGAAGGAATTTTTGAAATGTCTAAATGCAAGTCCGAGCATTTTGAGGTTCTTCAGTTAAAACAGTGAATATCTAAAAACATTGCATGACACTGACAAAAGGTATTAGTACGGTCGTCAAAAATAAAAGTAAAAATAAAGATAAATACATAAATAATGATAATAAAGGAATTAAAATATCGTTTTTTTTCATGATGCATACCTAAATTAAATGTTTATCTAAAGTAGTTCCATGCACAGGTATAGTGTGTAAAACAGTTTATAACAAAAGAATTTTAAAATAGAGCAATATAAAAAAGAGAAACATCGGACCTTTTAAGCTTGTGGGGGTTCGTCCCCCCGAACTCCCCCAGCCTACGGGCCTGAATTGCAAAAGAACATTGTGTGTTGAAATAAAGCTTTCTGTGGCTTTGCATCGAATCGAGACGGTCGGTGGGTTTGTGATGGTAGATACTTGCGAATAGTTGTCTATTGGTTTGAAGGAATTGCATTTCTACTATTGCAAGCTCAACAATCATATAGCTTCGATGCAAGGGCACGGTTACATTTCAAAGTAACGTAAGGAACGTTCAAGAGGACTATTCCAAATTCATGAAAAACGATTACCTTGGGAAGATGGCATGCCTTGTTAACAAAGTCACTGCCTCCTAAAAATTGGCCCCAGATGCATGTTGGATAAACCTCATCCGAGATCGTTTTAAGTGGAATTGGTTTGAAGTTTAAATTTGGAGACAATAGCAATTCTGAGAAAGAACCGAATACTCCATCGTCGATGAAATACATGAATCCCTATTAGATACAAAAAAAGCACAAATAAATATGCAAACCARATAAGAATCATCCTTAGAAAGATATATTATGTGAAAAGTTCCAACGCTAGTTTTTGCAAGCAAGAAATTAATGGGAAGTGGTGTCCTTGTGCTTTTTCATGTCTACTTAAACAGTCATCCTTAGCCGTTTTCGTTTTTTTTCTTTTTCAAACATAGAAGTAGTTGTATCCGTTTCTGTAAAGAGGACACAAAAACGTGAGAGATTTTAGTCCAGGACCACAGCTACAATCATGCTTTGTTGTCTTCAAAACGTACTTATTGCTCAGTTAAACAAGATGGCGGGGTTCAAATTGAATACCGAAATGCATTATTGGAGTCAAATCGCCAGTAGTGACTGCTTTTAGAAGTCTCTTCCAAAAAGCGTTCATTCCTATTTTCAGATAAGTTATAATTTCTAAATAAGGAAAGGAAAGTCGAGAAATTGTTTCCTATGAATATCATCAAAAAGTTCCATTTTTCTTCAACCGAATGCATTTCGGTATTGGAATTCGCCATGCAGTTGTTAGTTCATAGTTTATAGCTAATGTGTGAAGATTCAGTCAATTCGTTTACCTTATCTGCATCTGTATCAGTAAACGTTACAGGAGTATTCTCCTTTTCTGTGTAATGTTTCTTATCCACTTCTTTGACAGCGATAACATTTGTTATCAACGTAAATGGTGAGCATGCAAAATATCTTCCTGGTTCAGCGATGATCTTKATTCCAGATGAAGCAGGGAAATGTTCGTCGAGACTGCGGTTTATTACATCAAACATCTATAATAAAATGCGTTAAAATATAGTGATAAACTTAATCAACATTTCAATTAAATATTTTCAACTATTATTGAATGTATATAAATTTATAGATGTGATTGTAGGAACGCTCTGATTAGTCCAAGAGTAAAACTTTAGTTCGTCGGTAAATGGACGTATTTAAAATAACGTTAATATCGTTCTATATCATAAAAAAATAAAGAATGGATTGCCGTGGGTTTATCGATGAAATACAGCACTTGAAAAAGTTGGGAAAATACTCAAAAGCGTCAAAATCACTCTTAAGGCCTTTTTTCGTGTTTTCCCTATAGAAGCCTCGCGTGCTTTATTTCACCATTATCAAACTCATTAAGAGCCGCTTCGNCTACGGGCCTGAATTGCAAACGAACATTGTGTGTTGAAATGAAGCTTTCTGTGGCTTTGCATCGAATCGAGACGGTCGGTGGGTTTGTGATGGTAGATACTTGCGAATAGTTGTCTATTGGTTTAAAGGAATCGCATTTCTATTATTGCAAGCTCAACAATCATATAGCTTCGATGCAAGGGCACGGTTACATTTCAAAGTAACGTAAGGAACTTTCAAGAGGGCTATTCCAAATTCATGAAAAACGATTACCTTGGGAAGATGGCATGCCTTGTTAACAAAGTCAGTGCCTCCTAAACATTGGCCCCAGATGCATGTTGGATAAACCTCATCCGAGATCGTTTTAAGTGGAATTGGTTTGAAGTTTAAATCTGGCGATAATAGCAATTCTGAAAACGACCCGAATACTCCATCGTCGATGAAATACATGAATCCCTATTAGATACAAAAAAAGCACAAATAAATATGCAAACCAAATAAGAATCATCCTTAGAAAGATATATTATGTGAAAAGTTTCAACGCTATTTTTTGCAAACAAGAATTTAATGGGAAGTGGTGTCCTCGTGCTTTTTCATGTCTACTTAAACAGTCATCCTTAGCCGTTTTCGTTTTTTCTTTTCTTTTTCAAACATAGAAGTAGTTGTATCGTTTCTGCAAAGAGGACACAAAAACGTGAGAGATTTTAGTCCAGGACCACAGCTACAATCATGCTTTGTTGTCTTCAAAACGTACTGATTGCTCAGTTAACAAGATGGCGGGGGTTCAAATTGAATACCGAAATGCATTGTTGGAGTCATATCGCCAGTAGTGACTGCTTTTAAAAGTCTCTTCCAAAAAGAGTTCATTCCTATTTCCAAAATAAGTTATAATTACTAAATAAGGAAAGTCGACAAATTGTTTACTATGAATATCATCAAAATGTTCCATTTTTCTTCAACCGAATGAAGAGAGCAACCGAATGCATTTCGGTATTGGAATTCGCCTTGCAGTTGTTTAACATTATCGTACTTTATAGCTATAATGTGTGAAGATTCATTTAATTCTTTTACCTTATCTGGACCTGTATCAGTAAACGTTACAGGAGAATTGTCCTTTTCTGTGTAATGTTTCTTATCCACTTCTTTGACAGCGATAACATTTGTTATCAACGTAAATGGTGAACTTGCAAAATATTTCCCTGGTTCAGCGATGATCTTGATTCCAGATGAAGCAGGGAAATGTTCGTCGATGCTGTGGTTTATTACATCACACATCTATAATAAAATGCGTTAAAATATGGTGATAAACTTAATCAACATTTTAATTAAATATTTTCAACTATTATTGAATGTATATAAATTTATAGTTGTGATTGTAGGAACGCTCTGATTAGTCCAAGAGTAAAATTTTAGTTCGTCGGTAAATGGACGTATTTAAAATAACGTTCTATATTAATAACGTTCTATATCATAAAAAAATAAAGAATGGATTGCCGTGGGTTTATCGATGAAATACAGCACTTGAAAAAGTTGGGAAAATACTCAAAAGCGTCAAAATTACTCTTAAGGCCTTTTTTCGTGTTTTCCCTATAGGAGGGTCTCAATGAGGTTAACCGTGAGCCGTGAAACGGCTGAAAAATTAGCCGTTAGTCGTGAAAATGCGAAAAAATTAGCCATGAGGCGTGAATATTTTTTTATGGCGTGAGCCGTGATTCAGTTTTGTCCCTCAGAAGGACAGTCAACTCCGATGTAGGCGCGCGCTTGTAATTTTTTTTTTGTAAAAGCTCTATTCGCAGAGTAGCTCATTTAGTGCATCGAGGACCTTAATTGAGCGGGAGCCTGCGTCATGCTAAGCCTGGCAAGAAACTAAAAGTGCTCGAAATAGAACGTTACAATATTTAATCGACATCTTTTTTTAGATTGCTAATAAAGATATAAAAGATTTTTTTGCCAAAACAAAACTAGCACTCATTTAGTATGTTAGGACATCGAAGACTTTGAACGGGAGCCGATCATATATCCACTTCGTAAAAAAAGACGGTTCTCGGGAAAGTGAAACACAAGARATGACAATAATTATGCAAAAATAAATAAATGAAAAAAAGATAAACAATAAATAAAATAAAAAGGAAAAAACAAAATCACTAAACGTCTCCTCCAGGGAATCGATCCCGCTACCGTCAAACCTACATTGGATTTGCAAGCGGCGCCTTAACGCGGTGCGCCACTGGATCACTCTCATTTACATAATAATTGACCACTTGACACTTTCACCGAATAGACTACCCCAATTTGACATTATACTTTCGATAGTTGCCTAGTTAGTGCAAGGGGTTATCCATCAGTGTCTAGGGGCCGGATAGCTTCTCCCTCACTGGCTTTTTAGTTAGCGCGAAGTTAGGACCAATTATCGGGATAGCATGGAAGAGCCGAAATCTCTAACCGGAATGTAAATCGATTCGCCGCCTCAGCTTCACAGAATGTCTCGGGGGAATCGTCCCAACCTTTTTTCGATTTTATGGTCATGGGTTCGAATCCCAATACTCAAGTTTTTTCTTTTTTCATATTTCTATTTTTTTTGCTTTTTGCTGTTGTC